GTCCTGCTCAGTGGCGAGCTAAGATATAGACTGTAGTGGGCTTAAGTACGTTTATGGAGCATAAGAACTACTGATGTTGCCTTTAAGAGTCGCTTCTTGTTAAGAATATTACTCGTTGTTTGATAAAGCAGTTGACCTTGTAGGATAATAGTGTTTTTCTGTCGGTTTGATTATACCGTAGCACATTGGTTGGATTTGTTTCTGATGCCAATTCACAATGCATGGGATAAGAGCCTCGGCCATCGTCAAATTGGATTTGATTTGTCAAAAGTGCTTAAGGAAAACTGAGGGAGGATGAGCTTTAACGGTTACAGGAAAACTACACAATGAGGTGCTACAGAGTCAAGCTTAAGAAAGCATCAGTTGCTAGTTTCAAGCGCATTTTGTATGAAAAATTGATAAATGACTAGAAAGCTTCCTCATCACTTGAAATATGATTTTAAGGTTGTCATCAATTAATGTATGTATTTGTACTTGTCGATAGGATAGTAAATTTTTAACCTTGTGAAGTGTATAGCTTGTGAATTAAATACAAAACTGATTTTTAGGTCGCTTTATAGTGTAATAAGGGCCACGAGTTCATCAGTGTTTTTATTACAGTTAAATGTACCTCTCTTCAAATATAACCTTTACTTACTTACGATCACACATAGACTTCCAGAATTCAGCTGTGCGGTTTCTGATATAAAGAATAATATTAAGTCGACTAGACTTGATGGTTGATGGACTGAAATTCTTTACCTTGTCAACAGTAACCCGGGCACTCACTAACTTAGGCAAAGACAGAAGGTTATACATTTTATGCTAATTGCACAAAGTTCAAGGATCTCTACGCTTTTCACTCAGACGGTTAGTCCGTTTTGAAAAATTTAGCATCAATTTTCAACTTTTTTTTAATTGTACCCTGCGCTAATCACTGCCGTTCTCGGCTATCCTCGTTTTTTTTGTTATCTTAGAAATTTCATCAGTGTTTTTCTACCAGAGCAAACAAATACTTATTCAAAAAAGACGATTCCCTTTGGAGATGAAGAGACCTCAAATTACATGACGTAGCTTCTTAATAACTCCAGTCGCTAAAGGACCGGTTGGCATGACGTACAAAGCATGACGTCAGACTCCAACTTCACTCCCAGGAGGAGGCTGGCCAGAGTCAGACCACAGACATCCGGATTGCGAATCACGCGCTCAGATCTACTATAGTTCTCTCTGCCATTATATAAGAATAATCGGTGATGCATAACGTCAACGCTCTTATGGAAATTCTCACTAAAGTCAGTTGTCAGTAATCGATCGAGAAGGAACGCCAAGAATAAATTAGTTGACTGAAAAGCGCTCGTCGATACCGTGGGGATTAATAATACTGATTTGGAAGATAAATTTTTGTCCTGGTGTTTTGCGGCTTTCCGAACTGCCTAAATGTAGGGAAAGGCCAGAAACTGCCATATGGTGTATACAATAAGTAGGGAGGTTTAAGTGTTTAGCGACTGGTTTGGATGCGTCCTTGTCATTTCTTGTTACGTCGCGAAGGTGTTCTCGGAATCGGTCACCTAGACGTCTGCATTCATATGATTGCACATATAGATGGTTGTATAATATATAGCACCACATAACATTTTTCGTCCATTATAGTGGCACATGATTCAGATGGAGTATTCTTATGCGCTGAGTTTTTACGGTTCTGCCTTTTTAAATACAACCTGAATTCAACATTCTCTATTTGCAATAGTGGACAAACTTTAACCAGCAGATTATTTAGAGAGAAAAATTAAGGAAAATCATCTTGTTTTTTTATTAGTAAAGACGCGGCTGTCTCTAATTGCTTCCGAGTAGCTGACAGATGGAGCAAAGTTCTTGACCAATCACTTTACGATGTAAACCGAAACAATTTTATAATTGTTGACACCACTCACTTGCAGACTTCTTTTCACTTCAGGATGAAATAAATTTATAGTCCTGTCATTTGCCTATTGGTTGTTTTTTATTATTCTTTCTTTACTTACTGACTCTAAAAGGCGGAAGTCTTTCATGTGCAAACACAATACTGCATTTTCCACTTCTAATTGACATGTATTAATGTTACAAAAAAACCAGCCCTCAATTTTAATTTACATCTGCCGCCAACATGAACAATAGTCGAACATATTCTTAACAGTAGTTTTAACGCTCAGCTCTCATGGCGGAAAACGTTAGCTACCTTCTCAACGAGTCTTTCTTTGGAAACTCTGCGGATGTCGAAGATTTTCGTCCGTCACTTGTCGCTACTTGTGTCTTCAACAATTTTTTGAGTTGTACAACAATCATTTTGAACAGCCTTACCATCCATGCGATAAGGAGAACCACGTTGTTGCCAAAACCTTTGAGAACATTATTGCTGAGCCTGGCTGCCTCTGATGTTGGCGTTGGTTTGTTGGCACAGCCGCTCTTTATTTCTATTTTAGTCAGCTTGTTAAAACGAAGTCGTATCGACCCCATTTCCTTCAAGGGATTGATGGCCGTTATGAATTTCTTTTGTGCATCTTCGCTCCTCAATGTTTTAACCATAAGTGTGGATAGGTTCTTAGCTGTTCATCTTCATCTCAGATATCAAGAGCTTGTGACTCACAGGCGCGTCATTGCAGCGGTGATATCAATATGGCTGTTTAGCGCAATTATTTCTTCTAGTGTCTTTTGGGATCAATTGTTTATCATCTCACTAATCATATGGCTCGTGATTATGACTGTTTGCCTCATTGTAGTCGTAGCTGTCTACTGGAGGATTTATATAATCTTAAAGCGACATAATAACCAGATTCAGAGCCTTCAAATCCCAGATGTACAACAGGGAGTTCAAAATGGCACCTTATCTAGCTTTTCAAAGGTTAGAAAGTCAGCTCATGGAACATTTTATGTATGTATTGTGTTCTTGATTTGTTTCTTGCCTTCCTATATTATCTCTTTTTTACTCCTTTCTCGCTCTTTAAATCCAATCTCTTTCTACGAAGCTTGGCTCTATACAACGACTTTGTTTTTCCTCAACTCGTCTTTGAACCCTGTTATATACTGCTGGAAGATGGGACCCATTCGTCGCACTCTTATGGACATAATACGAGGCATCGTCAATCGGTTCAGAGAATAGCATTTGTTAGGAGTAGTTGTTGTTCTAAATATAAACTTCTAGAAATGTCCAGACTGCTTAGTAATGCTGACATGAGTACCATAGAACTTTCTAGAACATTTCATCAAGTCACACAATTATTGCGTAATACTACTTAAATACTTCTTTTGTAAGCTTCTGGAATGTTCCAGAACACTTTGTGAATTTATATAAGGACCCAGTTACATAGTAGTAGTTGTAATTTTTGTTGTTGGGAGTGACCGATTGTTCAGAAAGCTATACCGTGAGAGAGAGCTAGAGTGGAAGGTTGCTAATTTCAAGAAACGTTGGAGGAAACTGTGAGTTCTGCTCAGTGGCGAGCTAAGATATAGACTGTAGTGGGCTTAAGTAAGTTTATGGAGCTCCTTTTTAAGAATATCACTCGTTTTTTGATAAAGTAGTTGACTTTGTAGGATTATAGTGTTTTTCTGTCGGTTTGATTATAACGTAACACATTGGTTGTGTTCGTTTCTGATGCCAATTCACAATGCATGGGATAAGAGCCTCGGCCATCGTCAAATTAGATTTGATTTGTCGAAAGTGCTTGAGGAAAACTGAGGGAGGATGAACTTTAACTATTACGAGAAAACTATACAATGAGGTGCTACAGAGTCAAGCTTAAGAAAGCATCAGTTGCTAGTTTCAAGCGCATTTTGTATGAGAAATTTATAAATGACCAGAAAGCTTCCTCGCTACTTGAAATATGATTTTAAGGTTGTCATCAATTAATGTATGTATTTGTACTTGTCGATAGGATAGTAGATTTTTAACCTTGTGAAGTTTATAGCTTGTAAATTAAATACAAAACCGATTTTTAGGTCGCTTTATAGTGTAATAAGGGCCACGAGTTCATCTCCAATTTTGTTGATATAGCAAGCTGAATACGTCACGCACCATGGCTCTTACTTATGACTTACTAGAGGACGGACACAAAGATGACGTCACCATGAACAAGTTTTTTCTTTTTTTATTAAATAACACAAATGGGTTCCATGTTTCCGTGAGTCTGTACAGTAATAGATCACATGACGTTACATAAATGATGACGTCATCTCTAATTTATCACTATGTCTGGTGAGATTTGATCAAAGATGTACCTCATAAGCAATTTGATATCCACTCGTGTAGCAAGCAATACTCATCTGAATTTTACGTATAATTATAGGAATCATTGGGATGTCTCGTAATAAAATTTCTTAGCGCCTTGCTTTTATTACAAGGCCATCTGTAATCCTTTAGTCGAATTCGTTTGATTCATTTCGATCGCTTTTTCCATGATTCAGTTTTTGTTGTCGGGCAGAATTTTCAACACCATCTTAATTCAACTATGCGCAGGTATTTCGAAACGTCAGCTTTAAAACTCTTTACGGTGGCCAGTTTACGTTATTGATTCAGTTGATAATACTGAATTACCCTGTTATACTCTCCCACCGACGCAGCACCACAGTTTCTTAAGAAACTTACCGTCCTCAACCAAAATATATGTTAAGCAAGATAGAAAAACAACCAAAAGGAAAAGATGAATTGAACTCCTTGAAAGTGGAAGCCTTAACTCTTTCTGTAATTAGCAGACCTCGTAAGTGCGCCGTCGTTATTTCACGATTACTCCATACCCTTTAGTAGACGGTGTGGTTCATAGAGGTGTCGCTCCATTGCAAGTTCGTCGCCTTCCAGTTCGCCCCCATCAAGAAGAGTTCGCCCCTTTATCAAAATGACAAATTAGCCTCCATCTTTATCACTTTGCCGCATGGTCATGATGCACTGACATTTCTGCGCTCACTCCGTTCGTTATGACCTCGAGCTAAATATTTTCGTCTGGCCCTACCTCTCGTCACTAAGCACATAATTCGATTCTTGTTTTATGTAGCGAGAGGGTGCAATGATATCCTTTATGCTGGCTACAACACTAGTGGTGTTTATACCATCAACCCTGACAGAAAAACAGAGTTTAAGGTGTATTGCGACCTGCAGACGGACAATGGAGGATGGATCGTGTTCCAAAGGCGACAGGATGCATCTGTCAGCTTCCATCGCAATTGGAACGACTATAGATCAGGCTTGGGAGACCTTAGAAAGAATTTCTGGCTGGGAAACGACAAAATTTATCGTATCACCACAGCAAATGAGAAGTCGCTGCGAATCGAGCTGGAGGATTGGAGTGGAAAGAGAGTTTTCGCTCATTACGACATGTTCAAGGTAGACAACGAAAAAAACAGTTACAAGATCACGGTCATCGGTTACAATGGTACATACGGGGATTCGTTGAGGTACCATAACAACATAATGTTCAGCACAAGAGACAAGGATAACGACATGTGGAAGACGGGAAGCTGCTCAAATGACCTGACCGGGGATGGTGGTTTAACGATTGTCACAACTCCAATTTAAACGGACAGTTCATTTGGAACACAAAAGCTTACAGTGGAATTGGCTGAGTTCGATTTAAACATAACCTCTCCTTAAAGTTTGTGGAAATGAAGATGAGAGCTCAGTCCTTCCTGAAAGAAAAAGAGGATGAAAGGGAGAAGTGAGACAAATATTTTTTTGCACAAATTCGTGAAACAATTTTGAGTGTATCTATAAAGTATTTCTTATAAAAAATTGTAACGCGTAACTGTTTTGTCAACAAACATAAGAGCTAAACTGTTATGCCCCGCTCTAGATAACTAACATTGCTATATCCCTCGATTAGTACGTGGAATATGATTGGTCAATTTAGCAGGCTGTGTATCACTGTACGGCCCGCTAAATTCAAAGGTTTGTGGTTAAAACCACCTTGAAGAATATAATGAACTGAAACACATGAAAAAACTTCGCGGTGGCTTTCATTTGAATGGTCAAAGGCTGGTGTTTCCTCCATAGACTTTAAAGTTAGAATTAATTAGTGGTTCTTGATAAACAGTAAACATGGAAGTACTAATAAAAAGCTTTTATTTGATTACTTAAATAACATATAGAGAATAATACCTGGGCGCGCGTAGATATTGAATTTCTCTTCGAGTGTTTAACTCGATAGTTCACGAGTGAGCGCAGCTTCGAGTTGAACACGAGAAGAGAAATTCCATATCTATAAGCAACCATGTATTATTTTGTTTATCATATAAACACAGTAGCCCTTTACTGAGAAGAAAAGCCGACTTCGTTAATGAATAAAAATAAATGAGTCGACAATCCCCGAATAACATTCGTAAAGTGCGTTGGCGCTCACTCTTAAGATGGAAAAATGCGTTGAACCATCATTACAATACGATGGTCGTAATTTTCAATTTACAAAATTCTCTAATTTTTTTTTTACTTTGTCCCTACCGACAAAAAAAGTCTTTCAGGTAAACGACTAAAATCGGCCAGTGGCATATCTTCCAGTAGTCGATTTTCATTCTCAGCTGAGAGAAATGCCAACACCAAAGCCACTTAATACGTAACTTTCGGTTTCTTTTTGAAGATTGTTTTTTTTCCCCTTTTAGAGAAGTTTGAACCTCACCGTCTGTCAGCGATACGGAGTTTTTAGTGTTTTAGTCGCCATAATTCGAGAAAGCTCCGACAAACAACTTGTATTGAGAATCGTGAAGGCTTTGCCGTTCATTTATCAACCTGACCGAGTGGCGCCAAAGGCGAGTGACGTGTCAGCAGCTGATTGGCTATATCAACATACGTGAAAAAATACGATTTTTTTTCACGTGTATTGTTTCGGCTTTTCTCGGAGCCGGAAATCCCTGTATAACACTGCAGTTTATGTAATAAAAAGCTTCTATCGGAGTACTCATAACATAAGATGTTATCCAGGCCAGAACCATAATTGTGCCTTATAATAAACTGTACCTCATTAAAGTACTACGTTTTAGCTTTCATTTAAATGGTCAAACACTAGATTGTCATCCACACCAAGCTAGAATCATCTTGGGCAGTATATTTAAAAAAACTCAGCTACCTTCATTTGAATGCGTCTTATTCACGGGCTTAAAGGTAGGAATCCCTCCTCACCTAATTGCAAACATTACCATTTGCATTCATATGATTGGAAACATATATATGGTTGCATAACAACAGTCTTCATCAAGTATAATGACACAAGATTTAGATGGAGTATTCTGACTTATCCACACAATTTTTAGGGTTCTGCCTTTTTCAATACAACCTGAATTCGAGATTCTCTATTTGCAATAGTGGACAAACTTCATCCGGCAGATTATTTAGAGCGAAAAAATTACGAAAATCATTTTGTTTATTAATTGGTATAGTGGCGACTGGCTTTAATTTTCTTCCGAGTTGCTGACAGATGAAGCAAAACTCTTGACCAATTACTTTATGATGTAAACCGAAACTATTACAATACCTGACACCGCTCATCTGCAGACTTCTTTTCACTTCTGGACAAAATAAATTTATAGTCCTGTCATTTGCCGATTCGTTGTTTTCTTCATTCTTTCTTTACTTACAGACTCTAACAGGCTAAAGTCTTTCATATTCTAAACACAATATTGCATTTTCACACTTAATTTACATCTATGGATGTCACAAAAAAGCCAGCCCTCATTTTTAATTTACATCTGCCGTCAACATGAAAAATAGTCAAACTTCCTGTATTCTTTTCGTTCAAGTACTTGATGCACGATTATTGTCTGATAAAATGTCTTATCTGTATTTTTTTCGGTTGAAATATGTCAAAATATTACATGGCCATTGCTAAACTTTTTCTCAGCTAGGTGCAGCTGTTCATAAACTGAAGTGGATCTGTCTGATTTGTCTAAAGATTTGTCTGGAGGTAGTCAAAGTGAAAGCCGAACGCGGTCGTCTATAAGAGGGGAGGGCTATCTGTATCTGTATTCACCGCTGTAAAATATTCCCAAGCTAATTTAAAACGATTGAAAAATATGCCGGTATTATCTCAGTTTAGTTAGTTTGCCGAACATTCTGATTACCTCCTAGATCCGCCACAAACGAGTGCGTAATTTATTCGTAATAATTATTTTTGTCTCTCTCCCCACCCCTCACCAACCATAAAATGCTCGGTCTCTGAAGATTAATTCAGTGTATTCAGGCGAATTTAATAATTAAGAAGTATATGTCAGACACTATTTAATTTAACTGACTATAATGTTTCGTATATTCATTTTGATAGGTGAAAAATATGTTAATGACAGCCTTCCTCCAAATAACTTTTTTTCAGGTGTAAATGTCATGTTTAGCTAAAATGTCTTGAAGCATTAAAGAGATAATTGGTTTTAGTTCTAACTAACGCCGAGTTAAAGCGATACTCGATGCTTTTTTTCAAAAATTCATATGGCAGAGATGAAGACATCTTGAATGTACATACAGATGGCTTCGATGGGGTTTTGTGCTTGTGACTGACATCTACATATGACTTAAAATTTTCCATTTTTAGAATCGGAAAATGTCAGGGCCACTGTAGTTTTAACGCTCAGATCTCATGGCTGAAAACGTTTGCGACAATCTCAACGAGCTTTTCTCTGGAACCTCTACGGATGTTGAAGATTTTCGTCCGGTACTTGTCGCTAATTGTGTCTTCAACGGCTTTTTGTGTTATACAACCATCATTTTGAACATCGTTACCATCCATGCGATAAGGAAAACCGCGTTGTTGCCAAAACCTTTGAGAACATTATTACTGAGCCTGGCTGCCTCCGATGTTGGCGTTGGTTTGTTGGTCCAACCGCTCTACATTTCTACTTTGGTCAGCCGGTTAAATCAAAAACGTATCGACTGCATTTCCTACAAGAAATTTTTGGCCGTTACCAATTTCTTTTGTATATCCTCGCTCTTGAATGTTGTAACCATAAGTGTGGACAGGTTCTTAGCTGTTCACCTTCATCTCAGATATCAAGAGCTTGTGACTCACAAGCGCGTGATTGCAGCGGTGATATCAATATGGCTGTTTAGCACAATTATTTCTTCTAGTGCCTTTTACGATTCACTGCTTATCATCTCACAAGTCGTGTGGTTCGTGAACATGACTGTTTGCCTCATTCTGGTAGTAATTGTCTACTGGAGGATTTATATAGTCTTAAAGCGACACAAAAACCAGATTCAAGGCCTTCAAATCCAAGAAGCACAACAGGGAGTTCAAAATGGCGACTTATCAAACTTTTTGAAGCTGCGAAAGTCAGCTCTTGGAACATTTTATGTATGTGTTGTGTTCATGATTTGTTATTTGCCTTCCTATATTCTCTCTTTTTTACAAATGGCTCGCCTTTTAAGTCCAATCTCTCTCTACGAAGCTTTACTCTATACAACGACTTTGTTTTTCCTCAACTCGTCTTTGAACCCTGTTATATACTGCTGGAAGATGGGACCCATTCGTCGCACTCTCATGGACATAATGCGAGGCATCGTCAATCGGTTCAGACAATAGCATTTGTTATGAGGAATTGTTGTTGTAAATATAAGCTTCTAGAAATCTCCAGACTGCTTAGTCATGCTGACATGCGTACAATAGAACTTTCTAGAACATTCGATCAAGTCACGCAACTATTACGTAATACTACTAAAATAGTTCTTTTGTAAGCTTCTGGAATGTTCCAGAACACTTTGTGAATGTATATAAGGACCCAGTTGTGTAGTAGTAGTAGTTTTTGTTGCTGTCGGGAGTGACCGACTTTTGAGAAAGCTATACCGTGAGAGAGAGCTGGAGAGGAAGATTGCTAATTTCAAGAAACGTTAGAGGAAACTGTGAGTTCTGCTCAACGGCGAGCTAAGATATAGACTGTAGTGGGCTAAAGTAAGTTTATGGAGTATAAGTCATATACTGCCTCCTTATTAGGAAATCCCTCAACAAATAAAGTAGTTGGGTTTGCTGGATTGAAGCGTTTTTCTGTCGGTTAGATTATACCGTAACACATTGATTGGGTTCACTTCTGATGTCAATTCACAATGTATGGGATAAGAGCCTCGGCCATCGTCAAATTAAACTTGATTGTCGAAAGTGCGTAAGGAAAACTGAGGGAGGATGAACTTTAACGGTTAGGAAAACTACACAGTGAGGTACTATAAAGTCAAGCATAAGAAAGTATCAGTTGTAGTTTTAAACGCATTTTGTATGAGAAATTTATAAATAACCAGAAAGCTTCCTCGCTACTTGAAATATTACTTCAAAGTCATGTCATCATTTGACGTATGTATTTTTAATTGTCGATAGGATACTAAATTATCAGTAACCTTATGAAGTGTATAGCTTGTGAATTATATACAAAACCGATGTTTAGGTCGCTTTATAGTGTAATAAGGGCCACAAGTTCATCAGTGTTTTTACTACAGTTAAATATAACCCTCTTTGAATATAACCTTTTCTTACTTGCGATCACACATAGACTTCCAGAATTCAGTTGTGCGGTTTCTGATTTAAAGGATTATATTAAGTCGACTAGACTTGA